CCGGGACAGGACGTGAAATATGGATATGTCCCGGGAAATACGGACGTTTGGTCACCCTATTTTACCTACAGTTTAAAGAATTACAGTAGTCCAGCCTCGAAGTAACAAATGCATGGACTGGTTCCTCAAAATTAACCCTGGGATCTAACCATTTTGGGATACTTCATAATGTTGCAATGTTCTGCAGATGAAAGAAGTAAATTCTAGGTCCTCATTGTAAATAACACCAAGATTTTATCCTGTATTATCTGAGATCAGTCTCATCCCATCCAAATAAAGCGACTGATTAATCAGCTTCTTTTGCTAAGACTCTGATTAGAGACTATTAATTATGTTTTGTCTGCATTCAGGAGCAGAAAGTTAAGAGTCATGGAGGTTTTTAAGTCTTAAAGACATGCTTGTAATCTATGTAATAGGTTAGCTTCATCCGGATTCATAGGCAGATATAGCTGGGTATCATCAGCATAACAGTGGAAATTAATCCCATGCTGTCTAATAATTCTACCGATTTGGAGTATACAAGTAACCCTGGAGCATGAGGGTCAAATAATATTTATATACATAAATAAGATTTAAACCAGCCTAGGGCTTTTCCTTGAATTCCTATGTTTAAGACTGTCTAAAAGAATATTATAATCAACTGTGTCAAATGCAGCACTGAGATCTAACAGGACAAGTAAAGATACAAGTCTGATGCCATGAGAATATCATTAGTGACTTTTACCAGAGCTGTTTCAGTGCTATGATGAGCTCTAAAACCCGATTGGAACTTTAAAAAAAAAAGTTAATTATGGTGTAAGAGGTTGAACACTTGTTTGGCAACTATTTTCTCAAGAATTTCAGATAAGGAAGGAAGATTAGATATAGGCCTATAATTGACCATACTTCCTTAAATAACTTGGTTGGAAGTGAATCTAACATACAAGTTGAAGGCTTGGATGAAGGTATCATTTTGCTAACTCTGAAAGTTCAAATGGATGAAAACAGTCTTAACCTGGTTCAGATTATATAAACCCTTTCCCCACTGGCTAAAAAAAACAGTTTAAACCTGAGAACAATTGGCTTTTAGTGACAGTGGGAACAGCTCAGTGATGTGTGTCTTCCTGGGCCAAACGACTCGGCAAGCGACCCATGTTAAGATCGCTACAGCTCTTATGGGTATGCTATAATGGGTTGACCTGCTACATTACGTGATACCATTGAATGCAACATACCAACAACAACACTGCTGGCCTGCCGATCTGAGCAAGAATGTTCATTAAGGCTGACAGTGAGTTTAGCTTTAATTAATTCAGTTGAACATTTGTTCCACACATCAGTCCATTTGTTGAAAATCTTCTCCAAAAAGCCAGTGGAAGATGGGATGCTGAGGAAAAAAGGCACAGCAGCTTGGATGTTAAAGGTCAGCTGCCTCCAGAACCTCCTTCCACCTCTCTGCTGTTCCTTTGGACTGCCGGGATTCCTTTTCTTTTAAATTACTCCCTTTGTCCCCATTCCGTGAGCAACACTTGGCTCGACCAATGGGATGAGAGGATTCTGGAGCCTGACAAAGAAAATGGTCTCCAGCTTTGTCTGCGACCTTAAATACCATCCATCCATCCATTCATCCATCCATCCATCCATCCATTCATCCATCCATCCATCCATCCATTCATCCATCCATCCATTTTCCGTCACGCTTATCTCTGCTGAGGTCGAGAAGGGTGCTGTTGCTTATCTCCAGCTGTCTATGGGCAGAGGCGGTATCACAGTCTTTGTTCTGTTATGTGTTCTTTTAAGTATTCAGTTTTACTTTGCTCCATGTTTTCTAGTTTTATTGGTTTAATTCCTATTTTGTTGTGTTTTCGGGTTACATTTCAGTTCTTATGTTTTTATTTGTTGCCCTCTGTTGCCCTCTTGTGTTGGTCTCCTTTTCCCTAGTTCCTTTCTAGACTGCTCTCTTCATTTGGGTCCTCAAAATACAACCAAACCCTGACAGGTGGGGTTCACCCTGGTCAGGTCGCCAGTCCATCCCAGGGCAACACGAGACAAACAGGACAAACAGCCATTCACGCCTACACTCACACCTAAGGAGAATTTAGAGAAACCAATTAACCTAACAGTCATGTTTTTGGACTGTGAGAGGAAGCCGGAGTACCCGGAGAGAACCCATGCATGCTCAGGGAGAAGATAAAAACTTCCTGGAGAAAAAACCCTGCACTGGAAATCCATCTTGCTGCAAGGCAGCAGTGCTACCCACTGCAAAGCCCTCCTTACATACTATGTAAATGCTATTTTGGGCCTTAAGAGTCTGATTGGTTTCAATCTCTTTCAGTGTATCCAACTCCCCACTGGGGGGTGTTCAGTAGACTCACCCTGTTCTCAACAAGAGAGTCTTAAACATTTGGTCAAAGGTCAGAAGATGGTCCACCACTAAGCTTATGCTTGAACATGGTCTTCATCATGGACTCACTTATTCAGATTTGGCCCCAATGAGTCCCCAACCCAAGTCCTGGCTCTAGGCCGAGGTCTGTACCAGGCGATGTGGTAGGTTTGGATTTTCTCATCTTGATAATTTTTTTTTGAAACTCTCTTTGTCTGACTTGTCTCCGGAATCAGCTGATGGGTTCCTGGACATGAAATGCTGGACAAGCTCTACACCCTCAGCAGGGTCCTGGAGGGTGCATGGGAGTTCGCCCAACCAGTCTACATGTGCTTTGTGGACTTGGAGAAGGCGTTCGACCGTGTCCCTCTGGGGGCCCTGTGGGGGGTTCTCCGGGAGTACGGGGTGCCGGGCCCTTTGATACGGGCTGTCGGGTCCCTGTATGACCGGTGTCAGAGTCTGGTCCGCATTGCCGGCAGTAAGTCGGGCTCGTTTCCAGTGAGAGTTGGACTCCGCCAGGGCTGCCCTTTGTCACCGATTCTGTTCATTTCCTTCATGGACAGAATTTCTAGGCGCAGCAAAGGTGTCGAGGGGATCCGTTTTGGTGGCCTTAGGATTGCATCTCTGCTTTTTGCAGATGATGTGGTCCTATTGGCTTCATCGGGTCATGATCTGCAGCTCTCGCTGGATCGGTTCGCAGCCGAGTGTGAAGCGGCGGGGATGGGGACCATGGCCCAAATCCGAGGCCATGGTCTTGAGCCGGAAAAGGGTAGAGTGCCTTCTCCGGGTCAGGGGCGGTGTCCTGCCCCAGGTGGAGGAGTTTAAGTATCTCGGGATCTTGTTCACGAATGAGGTAAGAAGGGAGCGGGAGATCGACAGGCGGATTGGTGCAGCATCTGCCGTGAAGCGGGCGCTGTACCGGTCTGTCGTGGTGAAGAGAGAGCTGAGTCAAAAAGCAAAGCTCTCGATTTACCGGTCGATCTACGTTCCTAGCCTCATCTATGGTCATGAACTCTGGGTCATGACTGAAAGAACGAGATCGCAAATGCAAGCGGCCGAAATGGGTTCCCACCGTAGGGTGGCTGGGCTCTCCCTTAAAGATAGGGTGAGAAGCTCGATCATCCGGGAGCGACTCAGAGTAGAGCCGCTGCTCCTCCACGTCGAGAGGAGCCAATTGAGGTGGCTCAGGCATCTGATTAGGATGCCTCCTGGACGCCTCCCTGGTGAGGTGTTCCGGGCACGTCCCACCGGGAGGAAGCCCCGGGGAAGACCCAGGACACGCTGGAGAGACTATGTTTCTCGGCTGGCCTGGGAACGCCTTGGGGTTTCTCCTGAAGAGCTGGAAAAAGTGGCTGGGGAGAGGGAAGTCTGGGCCTCCCTTATTAAGCTGCTGCCCCCGCGACCCGACCCCTGATAAGCGGAGGAAGATGGATGGATGGATAATTTAATCACTGCAAACGTATTAGTTTTAGGTATAAATTATGATCCATTGTTTATCCTTGCAGACCGGACTTTTCCTTTAAGTTAGACATATTTCACTTCTGTGTGCTCCATCTCCACACCCTTATTTTGATACCAGAGGTCAGAAACAATCATTGTTTTTTAAAGTTATTTTAAGACTTCAGTTTGGTTCAGTGATTGTCTTGGCATGAGGCCAGGCCCGACTGAGGATGTTCAAGCTGGGAGGTATGGGGGACCTGGAGAGTCACTGAAAAAGAAAACCAATTTAAAAGTAATTTGTTATAATTCAATTTGCAGATATGCAATTAGAAAATGCTTTTCAAATTAGATAACAAATTACCTGATTTAAATGTTAAATTTCAAAAGCTGGTTTTCTTTTTCAGTGGCTCTCTAGGTCCCCCACATGGAGGAAGAATCTGTTCAGCTCTTATAAAAGAAGGAAAAAAAACACTGAGCTGAGTTTTAAGTTTTTCAACTAGAGGAGAAGAAGGAGGAGGAAGAGGTGGAGGAGGAGGAGAAATGGGAGGAGTGAGAAAGTCAAAAGTGTTAAGTGAAAAGAAAAGTGTCAAAGTGAAATGCGTGTGAAGGCTCTTCTGTACACAGTTTCTCTGCATACCATTTGTCTAACTTGCCCTTCCTCCTCCCAGCTCTGGGACCGTGTGAAAACAGAGACCTGCACAGGAGTGAAGACATGCAGCACAAAGTGAACTTTACCTTGCTGGATCATAAATAGAAGCTGTGGTTTCCTGGAGCGGCTGTGGATCCTGTAGGAAGGAGGGATGAGGCTTAACACATCTGAAGCATTTTGTTTTCCTACCAGTTGTAAAAAACACTGAGCCTTTTGCTCCATCAGAGGGGGACTTCTGGGACCTGCAGTCTTGGTCTCCCATTAGCTGGAACGGATCTGCCAGTTTGCTGCTGGTGAGGATGTGGAAGCGAGGGACTTCAGGGGTCTGAGGATAATGCCATGCAGTTGATGGTTTTGCTGCTTGTGCCATGCTAAGAGGCAGTTCACCTCTCGCGAGTGTGTTTTTTTGTTCTGTGTGTCTGCTGGTGGCGCTCAGCCAAAGAGCAACTACCCCCAGAAAAAGAGGCTGCATCCGAGACATTACCCATCAGGTGTCTACACTTATGAATTGCTCTTCAATGCAGGTAGGGCTCCGAACAAATGTCCTCTTGGCAGATTTATTATATGTATAATCAAAAGTTAAGTACAAATTAATCAGTAAATATCAGCATCATCTTTATAGAGCTTCATTCAGGTAAATGAATTACAGTGGAAACATTCAGCTGAGATCCTGAGAAAGGGTCAAAGATCATCAGAGGCACAAACTCCAAGTTCTCAGGGTTCTGTTTTCATTTTGAAGAAACTGGAAAAAACTAAGGTTGTTCTTTAAGGAAGACACTCAGAGTGCTTTCCTTTCTCCTGGAGGTCCATCTACTTTGGAGCAGACTAAAATTGCCAATAAATGGTGTTTTTTTAAAACTGTCAATTTGAGCAAAAAATGTTCTACCTGAAAACCAAACTGCATGTGCAGGGAGTTAATAGAGATGGGAACGAAGGTGTAGAAGCACAGAGGAAGCTGTTCCATAAGCTTTTCTCCAGGCTTATGGGTTTATCTAAGGACAGATGCACATCTCACCTGATGGATGGATCCAGTTGGAACCCAACACTTCACTGAAATAATTTAAAACCCAAAATGAAGTACTTGTAAGGTTGAACGCCATAGTAGATGCCTCCCGTGGTGCCCTCTAGTGGCTATTGTAGGCATTGCTGCGGCTTGTGATCCACAGGTCTGAAAAAGATCAGATTTAATCTTAGTCTAGACGTTCTGTCCGAAGGCCTCTTCTCATATGAAGCATCAGTTTCAGTTACTAGAGGCAACTTTTGGGTTCTGGGGCTCAGATTAACCTGGCATCAATCTGTAGCTGTATAATCATCAGCATTCAGACCGGAACATCTACATGTTCCTAAAAAGTAAAAGAAAAAACAACAATCCTCTGGACAAGTTTGAAGATGTTTTGCTTTTCCATCCAGGAAGCTTTTTCAATTCAAAAAGTTAGCATTGAGTTTGAAGCTTTATAGAGTAACCCAAAAACAACAGGCAAATTGAACCACAGGAAAGGATCCGTTCCTTAGGAATGGGGAGTTGTTTGCCTGCAGCATCCGATACTGATCTATGCATCTGAAAGGGGGGTCGTCAGGGGGAATTGTTGGCCCAGTTGCTCAGGCGAGATGTTTTGGTCCACTGCATTGGGGGGTGGGGGTTTTGAAATAGGTATGCTGAGACCCCCTTTGTTTAAGGTTGTTTTTTCTCTCTTAACATAAATGGCTTCCTTCATCTACAGGTCGTTATCAATTAATGACATCAGGAGTCTTTTATCGATATGTCCTCCACTTCATCCGGTCTAAAAATTTCTTCTGCCCCCATCTACTGCTGTCCTCACTTTTCTTTCATTGAACAGTAGCTATGCCAAGTTGAACCCATCATTTGTCTATTTCAAACGATATGAGTTATAATTGCCCTAATTGAAGGAGGATTTGTTTTAACTGTAGCGCCCGGGGGGACATGTCTCCATCCCTTTTGTTTTACTTCCTCCCCAACAGGCCGAAACAGCACAGAACATGAGCCATGTCTGCAGGCAGCAAAATCTTGATCATGTTGAAAGTTTAAAAAAATAACCAACCATTGTTTATATGGGCTCAGAATCCAAATTCTGATCATGATGTGTATTTCCTGGCTCCTGCCTTTGTTCAGAATAAAATCTCCCTGGCAGGCACAGAGTTGTCATATTTCCTTACAGGTTTGACTGAGCCCCCAGAATGGATGCACTCCAGGATCTGAGAGCAGCTGAGGTGTTGATGCTTTGCAAGATTAAACCAGGCTCAGCAACTCCAGCTGTTACCGCTGCCGCCTTAAAAAATGAAGGAGAACAGGACCCCATCTGAGTCACATTATCAATACAAAATGGACACTGATCTGATTAAGGATCGCCATTAACAGCTGCATGTTTAGAGTTCAAGAAATTTCTACTGAGCCAAATCCAACAATAATGTTCCAAATGTTGTGTCTAATTGGGACTCGGTCCAGAGGAGCAACAACTTACATGAGACAAGACATGGACTTAATGCCGTAGAAAATGTATTTGAGACATTTAAATCGAAAAATGTTTAAGCCTTCATGCTCCCTCGATAGATCCCTGCCTAGGCTGAGAGCCCTAGCATCATAATTGGAAAATATGCCACTGCTGCTGATTTTATTCATAATTATGCAGAAGCAGAAAACTAAATCTTTGGTCTTAATTGAGACAAGATGAGGAGAGATGTAGAGTATCAGGTTTTCAGGTATCAAGTTATCCAGTAAACCGGCGCAGGCCGGTGGCAGGATTAATTTATCCCGAGTCTGACGCATATTTAAAAACAAAAAAACTTGATTAATCCGAAATGCAATAAATAAATAAAAAAATAAATATTTTATTATTTTTTATTTACCTTTGATCTGAGATGTGACACAAGGAAAGCTTTCGACATTGCGTTCCCTTTACTGGAGGGACTCAGAGAGCAAACACTAAATGCTAGATGGATTTTTATGGATTTGTTAGATTGTTACTATGCAGCACAGGTTCCAATAAGGTTTATTGCTCTATAACTGTTGATACCAAATTAACTGGGGTGTCATTTCTGTTCCTATTAGCAGAATGGAGGATGTTCCCAGGGTTTAGTTCATGACTACAGGAATCCAACATCCTGCAAATCTGTTTCTCCTCAATTATTTTTACAACAGGCACTAAAAGCTTCTTTTTTTATATAGAGCTTTGGAGACAGGAAATTATTGTTGGCTCCCAATCTAACAGAACGCACAGCTGCAGATATCAGTGAAGTTCATTTTTTGTTAATTTATTAGGGATCCCATTAGCTGTTGCCATGGCAAACAATTAGTCTTCCTGGGGTCCGGATTAAAAACCCACAATACAAAGCACAGTCATAAAAAATATTACATTTCCAAAAATGTCATCTCTTAACACATGGTTTAGAAATGATCAGAGAATGAAAAAAAGAACAATACAAAAACAAAATTAAAAACAATCCACTGGACTTTGTTTTCAAGTTTGAAGATGTTTCGCTTCCCGTCCAGGAAGCTTTTTCAATTAAAAATGTCAGAAATAGCGTTGAGTTCCGGGTTTTATACAGCAGCACAAAAAAACCTTGTTTTTTTTTTTTTTTAAACAAATTGAAACAGACAAAGGGGTCAACCCCTTTGGAATGGGGGTCGTTCGGCTTCTTTTGTTAGACTGCAATGCCCCATACCTGTCTATATCTATGAAAGGGGGGGGGCATAAAAGGGAATTGTTGGTCTGGCTAAATAGGCAAGCTCCTCTGCTTACCTATACAGAGGCTGGGGTTAGGATGATAGTGGGAAGGCATCAACTCTATTGCTGCATTGTATGTTGTTTTTTCACTCTTAACATAGATGGCTTCCTTCACGTCCCTCTAAAACCTCCTATTTTCTTTGTCCAAAATGTGAACATTCTGGTCCTCAAAAGAATGTCCTTTGTCCATAAGGTGTAGGTGGACTACAGAGTCTTGTCCCGAGGAGGCCGCTCTTCTGTATTGGGCCATGCATCTGTGGAGAGGTTTGGTTTCTCCAGTGTAAAGATCAGAGTATTTCTCACTGTATTGAACTGCATACGCCACTCCTCTCATATTTGGTCTGGGGGTTTTATTTTTAGAATGCACTAATCTCTGTTTAATGGTCTGGTTTGGTTTGAAATGTGCTGGGATTTTGTGTTTGGAGAAAATCCTCTTGAGTTTGTCAGAGACTTCAGCAACAAATGGAATGGAGATGTTTTTGCGTTTGATCTGCTGTGTGTCTTTTATATATCCTTGGTGATTTGACAAACACCCAGTTTGCATATCTGCAGGTTTGAAGAGCACCTTTGATGTGTTTCTGTTCTGTTTTTGTAGGAACATGCTCAGAGCGATGTTGTAAGGTTCTGATGACTGTGTGGTAATGGTAATGTTGAGGGCCAGGTTGTTACACATGGTCCAGTCATGTATGGCATTCAGTTCTCTGCTCAACACCAGATTTACTTCCCTGCATGAAGATGAAGCAAGATACAAAGGAAATAGATTAGATCACATCTTGACACTTGAAGCAATATTGATTCATATATTTGTTGTTGCTTTTTTGGCATAAATGGAAGCATCAATGAGATCACATTCATTTTCCTTCCCTAAAAAGAGGAAGTAAAGTTTTTTTATTTTCTTTAACTTTTCCTTTTTGGTTAAACTTCTTTCTATGTTTTCTTTAAACTACACCCTATACAGCGATAGCAGGTGTATTTACAACAACTTCAGCGGCATGTCTTCTATTTATCATATGAAGACATCAAACAAAGTTAAAATTTTTACATATTAATTAATAAAACCAATAAGTTCTGTGTAATTTAATTGGTAAAGATCAAAGATAATACAGGAAATCTGTAGCTGACCTGAATTGCCTGATATTTATAAGTTGCTTTTGTGCCTGTTTGGTTACAATTAGACCCTTATTTCATGCAAACATACGTTTTTTTTCATGTTACATGAAAGTAGGATGAGGATACCCAGAGGTGTCAAGTAACGAAGTACAAATACTTTGTTACTGTACTTAAGTACACATTTTAGGTATCTATACTTTACTCCATTACCTCTGACTTCTACTCATTACATTTTCACACACGTATCTGTACTTTCTGTTCCTTACATATTCAAAACAGACGTTACTCATTACTCTTGGCTTCGGATCCGGACCCACCTGATGGCTAATCTGGACCCAACTTTATTTAAAACATTTATAAATTACCACATGTTGTCTGACGGCAGTGTCTAAACATCACTTGCGCCGCTTCTCCTGTTACCCCCGAAATCCCACATCCACCGCTCCGCCCCGCTGCGCTCCAGACCTCCTGCACAAAGCAAAGCCTACAGCCTCTGCTGTTCCTCACATATTGAGGATACCACTATATTCAAATTCAACTTATGCAGTGGTGGCCTAGTGGTTAGGGCATAGAGCTTGGAATCCTGAGGTTCTGGGTTTGAGACCCACTCCCACAGACTGACACTCTGGCTCTCTGAGCAATACACTGAACCCCTGATTGCTCCCCTGGTG